CGGGGTAGGACCCCCCCTATTCCCGTCTCCTGTTTAGGGGGCCATACAAGAAGTCCCTTCCTCTTTTCTTTCGTCAATCAGACATTATGGGAGAAAATTGAGTGGAAAAAACCGCCAGCTCAAATGTTGAGTAGAGGGAGTAGTTGTTGATCATACGGCAGTATTTGTATACTCCCGGCGTGAGGCGCCCAACCGAGATTAGGTGATAAATGCCACTCAGATATGGGCAACTGATACTTCATTTATTGCTGTTTCACGTAATATAATGACGGATAAATATTTTCGTCCAAAATCACCCGTATTATAAGTAGTCTGGAGTAGTATTTCACGAGTTGGGGTGGGGGTGGATATAATGGGATTACGTTTAACTGTCCCTTGATCACTCATTCAACAGGACACATGACCGTCCCCTATTTGTCAGTATATTTTCTCAAGAGGTTAAGAACACGCGCCTGGCGCCTGGATATATTTTCGTCTGCAGAAAGGCATTTGCTTGATGAGCAAATGTCGGCTTAGCCCACTTTTTGCTGATTGATCAATGTGATCTACCGTGTTCATTTCATTCCTTGATAAGGTACAATGAACATTTACTTGCAGGCAACTACCCGAATAGTTCACCTTCGTTATTAAATGCCAACATAACGTAGTTTTCACCGTTCGGTGATTCTTTTTTCTAGCCTTTTACAGTGTGCCCAACTGGTATTCGGTTCCGGCGCTGGCTTGCATTCTGTTGGTTGATAACGACACATCCGCCACTAGTCTGATTTCTACCTCGTCCGTTTTGCATGAAATTTTACGACTGAAATACGATTCCATCGTTAGATATTTTGCATGTGGGGCTTGGGCTGTTGCTCATACCAGCTTAGAAAGTTAATTAAGTCGAGACACTTATCGACTCGCCACCATGCCCTCTGGCTCGCCCCAGGAAGGTATCCAATTATTCCTGGGCTAGGATTAAGTTCAAGGCACCCAGGTGAAGGAGAACGGGTGGCTCTGATCTTAATTCCACACAAGACTGCATCTTGTTGACCAAGATCATAGCTTTCATCAGTGACTTTTGGAAGCATACTGCGCGCCACGTCAAGGTTAAGAAACGTCAGGCGAATAAAAGTGTTGTCCCAGCAATCGAGTCGTCTTCTCAAATATGAGTATAATCAGTTTTAAAAATGTACATGTACCGGGGAATGCCGCAAGGCCTATATATGGGAATCGCCCTAAAATTGCGCCAACTAACGAGCGAGAGTCAATGAAACAGGCTATCCAGGTGCTGTGGAGATTCTAATTAAACCATGCTCATAAAGGTTTCGTCTTTTTAGTAACTGCTCTCGTCTTCCAAAACTGTCTTGTAGACGGCACCAGAAGGGCAGAAAAGCCGCCCTACTCCTACATCGCGCTGATTGCCATGGCGATCCAGGCATCTCCCACCAAACGTTGCACTCTCAGTGAGATTTACCAGTTTCTGCACTCCAAATTCACCTTTTTCCGCGGCGCCTACACCGGCTGGAAGAACTCCGTGCGACATAATCTCTCCCTGAACGAGGTCTTCATAAAACTTCCCAAAGGTGAGTCCCGCTCCCCCCCTCGCCCCCCGCCCCAGCACTTGCTGCTAACCCAGCTTATTTGTTCTGGCTTGAGAGTTAAAGGTTTAGTTAGTCAGCGTGACGTTGTCATGCCATCTGATTCAGCCTGGCGTGAGCAGCCGTTCGCGAAGTGCGAACTCGTGTTACTGTCCGGAAGCGTAGATACCGCGTGGGCGAAACTCGATTTGCGCGCTGCCAGGCCGATTAAAGCGGCGTTGGCGTTGGCAGTGGCGGCGAAGGGAGTTTGTTTATGTGGACTCACCACGAGTTCAGTAATCCTCTTGCTGACCGGAAGTTGGAGCCTATCAGCACTTGTGAAAACAGTGAAAACGCTCTGGTTGCTAGCGTCTCCGAAAACGGGGATGGGGGAAGGTCCTGTGGATGGCAAACAGAAACCTGCAGGATCTGTAGTACCGCGCTGACAATATTCTCCCATGCCTATAGCCACTAAAAGGAGCCTATTCTTCTTTTTCTTCTTCTTCTACTCTACTCTGATCTACTGCTACTCCAATCACAGTCATTATTATTACCCTTATTGTCACCATACGCGCTACAATATTACTGGCATCCCTTTTCTTATTTCTAAACCTCCTTGTTTCTGCTAATGTCTAAGATGTTGTAGTTTACTACCTACAAACAATTTTTACGGCAGCCATTCGTTTGAAATTCCGCTGTCCATGAGTCAAGTTTTCTAATATTTCCACGGCTACCTTTATCGTTCGATGCACGGCTGTGTTCAGCCTGTTGACTTTCACAGTAATCTTCACGCTCTGATCGCAACTTACTGCAAAAACATCCGCACAGGTTATTGTTTAGTCATCTACAGTAAAGAAGGCTCATTAGAAGTTTGTTTGGGAGGGGGGAGGTTTATTTTTGAATGAATTTACTGAACATTTGCCCAGAAAACTGTTTGGTGAGCGTGTGTTGGCCTTCTACGCATACTTATTAAACGTGTGCATTTGTATGGTTATGGAATCAACGAGGAACTGTGAGTAATTAGAGGAATTCAATAATGTTCATAGTCTCACACAAGTTGGTGAGGAATGGGGGGATAAATATAGTCACCCAATGTAAACCTAGTCAAAAATTTATGGCGGAGAGAGGGTTCAGAATAAGCGTGTTGGGGAAAGGGATGAAAGGCGCTGAAGATTGTAAGTAGATAGCAGGTTACCTGGCCTTGGGTCATGGTAAATTCAGGACCTGCATACATTTCTTCCCTGTGTGCAAGACTCTCTTGAGCAACCTGATTGCCTCTGCTTATGCGATTGCCATTAGATACTGTTCCCGTGGATTTTAGAGGTTCGATTCGGCCTTATAAATAATTAAGAGGGCTCTATTTTGGGTCCACCCAGTGCTCAGCTTCAACTTGATACGCTAGAATAATGCTGCATACGCTCCTACTTTCACAATTTTTCGGTCATGCTGGGAAGAGTTTAGGTAGCCCTTTGGATAGGCGTCAAATTGTGCGACCTACGAGCTGGTAACTTAGCCCTAACATATCCGTATGTTGAAAATTTATCGAAGTAAGCATGTGCTCGCTAAACCATCTTTTGAAAAAGCACATTATGATGGCCAGTAAGGCTTGCGTTTCCAATAAAGGCGCACACTGATTCCCCTTCTAAACGCCTTTTTCATATGCAGGCGTTGGTCGACCGGGTAAAGGACACTACTGGACCATTGACCCGACGGCGGAATTCATGTTTCAAGAT